TTAACGTGGCACAAGGTTCTCGAAGATCTCTCCAAGGGACCATCCTGGTGTCCCTATCTAGATGCTCGTCGACCCTGGACGATGAACGGCAGATACGATGCAAGCAGAGACGAGAGCCTTTTAACCCAGGCAACGAATATTCAACCCCGAGTAGTTGATTCCTGCCTTGAGACGTCTGTCTATATTATTGATACGGTCTTCCTCTGTGGCAGTATAGCTGGAGGAGAGCAGTCCCTGGACGGTAGTGCGCAAGCCGAGGATGCAGATGCCCACCGTCTGGCTACAGAAGCAGCGCTTTTCACCCGGCCCAGCATCGTGGAAGAATACTGGGCTCTGCTGGAGGCCACTGAAAGGAGTCATAACCTCGCCTATGCGGACAAGGCTCTCGCGTTCGCCAGCACCCTTTTACACGCATGTGACGCGGATGACAATGATCCCGCCTCAATTGCTAGGAGCTTCAGCGACTTTTGCAAAGAACACTGTCCCACAATCCAGGATCGCCTTGAAAAGCACGAGTGGCTCAACCAGTGGGCTTCGGCTGAGACTCGCTTCATACCATTCGTACCACGTACGGCGAGTAGCATAAAAGGCGAGAAGTTTTTCACCACGAAGAAGGGGTACTGGTATGTGCGAACATTTCCTGTCAAGTATGCTTTGACTTCCATTCGCTTGCTAACCAGTTGTAGTGGAACAAGTACCCCGTTGATCAAGCCCGGCGATTTGATATGCATCATTCCATCTGTCCAGACACCCCTGGTGATAAGGCCCGTTGAAGGAAGAGACAGAGTGTTCCATACTATTGGCTCATCCTATGTATGTGGAATGATGTACGGTGAGGTTTTCAAGACACCGGAGCCGGGTTACATCTCCCCGGAAGTGTCAGTTGCTCAGTTTGTGTGACGGCCGTCAAACAACGGAGGTAGACAGTGTTGGGTTGCCCAAGAACCTAATATTTATCGTTGCAGCACAAGATTGCGCGCAGTAATGAGTGAAAATTTAGTGTTGATTTGTGTATACATGTACCTTTGCTACGATCCGTGAAATACTGCCACGGAAAATTTCTGTATGAAGGCTTTTTTTCCCGGCGTTGTTGCTCTCCGACAATGCAAGTCTGTATTTGATTGTTACAGAGTAACAACCTTCTCGGAGCTGACATTCTTCTTGCCCTCCAAGCTGTCCGTCAACTCAATACCCGAGGTCTTAGCGGAGACCTCAGGCGATGCCTCTGAGTCCCCGGCCGTGGGATTTCCATACTTCTCAAGTGTATGAATGTCAAGCTATCGCGCAAAATATTAGCGACACGTTCTCCTAGTTGACGCGATAAGGCACTGTAGCTTACCTTCCGAACGACAAAGACATAGCCCAGCATGACGAAGCAGCAAACAATCATAACAATACCACCCTTCTTCCAGTATGGGGCCTCATCGGCCGCGTAGAAAACGATACCCCAGAACGTATACAAGGTCAAGGAGAGAACGTTCATGCAGTAGACTGTAACACTGCGGACCGCGTCGTCGCCAGTGCGCTGGAGAATGATGCTTGCCCAGCCAAAGATCAACGGGTTGACCATGTACGCCGTGCCGGACAGGTAGAAGGCGAAGAAGGTTCCAGCAAAGGGAAGGGTTGGGACCAGGAGCATAATGGCGCAGATGAGCTGCAAGAAGATAGCCAAGACGGCCATGGGGACACGGGTACCGGTAGCGTCCATGTGCCAGGCGGCCAACATATTGGACACGATACCGACGGCCTGTACCCCGAGAGGGTATGTGTTGATCTGACTTTGAGTGAAGTGCGAAGACTGGTACTTCAGCCAGATGAGGAAGTTGTTTTGAACGGCGTAGGCCTCAAGGGTAGCGCAGACGGGAGACCAGAAAACCAGGATCCAACTAGGTAAGTGTCAGCGAGGTTTGTTCATCACGGAAGGGGAAAGGAAAGACGCACAACATGGGCTGCAGGAACAAGCGCTTCATGAGAGAAAAGGGGTTGATGCTATGCCCCCCTTCCTTGATGGGAGGCAGGCGAGCAACAGCCATTTTCTTCTCGGACTCACTCAGGTAGGTCGCCTTGGTGTTTTCCGGGATGTCAGGGAAGAAGAAGAAACCGAAGAAGGCAATGGGAAGCGTGATGATGCCATCTAGGAGTTTGTCAGTATACGTCTCTCGCCGAGGTGTTACGCTTTGCTTACCAATGAGGAAAACCCACTGCCAGCCACCAAGACCACCAAGTCCTCCCATGCCCTTGTAGATGGCCGCCATCATGACGCCAGCAAACATGGTGCCGACCTGACCGGATGCTGTGAAGATGGCCGTGCGCTTGGAGATCTCCTTTGGCTTGTACCAAGAGCCGATGATGTAGATGGTGCCGGCGTACGTGCTTGCCTCAGCAAGGCCAAGGAAGAAACGGACGACGCAAAGCTGAGTGACTGTCTTGCATGCTGCACTGATCATCTATCCGTTGGATCAGTACCTGTTGTGGCCACACAGCTACTGACTATGTATAACTTACTGTCAGAGCAGCCCAGACAACGACCATGGATGGAAGCCAGATGCGGGGTTTGATCTTTTGAATAATCAATCCATGAGGAATCTGGCCGATAGCCATTCTGCGCGATTGTGTCAGCATATTCTGACAAGGAGGTGGCAGCATAGCCGACTGACCCTGCAGTCGTAACCGAAAGGACCGTGTTGTAGTCATGGCCCTTCATGTTCAGTGCCTCACGGAGGCCGGCGACCTGTGGATTGCCAATCAACATCATAATGTAGATGATGGAACCAGGGAACTTACATATGCATTGGCAAAGGCAGCACGGTCTTCAACATTGAAGAGGTAAGCTCACCATCCAACTCATTGGTCACAAGAGTGAGACGGCTCTTACCGAGGAAGTTGAAGAAGTAACTTAGACAGCAGTAGGTCTGTGAACGTTGTTAGTCGTGAGTCCTTCTGCGACCGACCGAATACGGTTACATACCAGGATGAAGAAGTCTAATGTCACTGTCAGCTTCGGTCTACGGGTTTATTCGCCAGCCAGCATGACCTACCAATCTTCTGCACAAGCTTCCTTTCCTCCCTGCTCTTTGCTTCGTCACCCAGGAAGAAGACTGTGACCCCCGAGTCAGTACCAGTCTGAGCTCTGGTTCTTCAGTACAACTCTACCTCGAATCTTCTCCCCGACAGAACTCTTGTCAGCTGACATCTTTGCAAGTGCCTACGCGGATGGGCGAATGGTTGTGAAAGACGAATGAGTAGTTTTGCGGCAAAGCAGGGAGACAGAGGTATATCAAACAGCAACGGCGCAATCAGATCCATCCCATAAGATTATCTCCGAATCTGATAAAACTTTTCCATCCCACCACCTGGCCTCCTGCTGCGGGGACTTCCCTGGAATCCCTGCCTAATGGCGCATATATTCACAGTGAAGATCCGAGCTTCGTGGAGCTCGTGTAGTAGCTGACATATTGTGACAAATGGTTCTGACTGGGCGACACAGCCAAGACGCTTGGGGAGCGTTACCTCAAAGCATACCGAAGGTGTCAAGCGAACCTGTCTGGCCTGCCGCATGGCTCCCCTTTTGGCAGGTTAAGTGTAAGCGAACTCCACTGATGGGCAGGGAGATGGCGTCCGTGAATAATGAGACCGGCCCAGGCTCGAGTCATACGCGGACACGAGGAAAGAGAGACCTGACTTCGGGAAATCTTTCCGAGGAGGTGACAAATGAGCAGGAGGCCCAAGACTCGCCCAGAGCTTTTCTTGGGTTTATCATTATCAATCTTTCATCTTACAAAGATAAAATCGTCTGGCGCTCTTTATCAGATAAAATCTGATAATCAGGATATGGTCGAGTCGTGGACCGGGCCGGTGTCACGGCTTGAAGCTTGGGGATAGGACTTTGCGTTAAGCTTTAGCATATTCTAGCAGATCCCCACCGGTTTGAACTTAAAGTCGTCCCGAGAACCGCCCCCACAGTATCCAGACTCCCGGTTTGGCTCCGGATTCTGGGGCGTCGAGGGTTCTTGAGTCGAGTCAAGCCTTCCTCATGGACCGAAGCCGCAACCATGCTCAAACTCGCCTTCAAAGCCAAAGTTTCCATCAATCATCAAGAAGAAAACCAACTTGTCAGGCATGATGCTGACGATAACGAGAATCAAGTGGTACAGGGCAGGAAAGACTATTGCCCCGATGATGCAGGGGCTGAAGAGACAATCGTACCAATCGTAAGTGAACAGGCGAGCTCCGATGTAGCCGAGCATCCACGCTTCGGTGCTCGGTGTTAAGACCCGCAACCAACTTCAATCTCTTGGCTTTTAGTCATGAAGAAGACTCGTGCCTTTGGTCGCAAAAACAAAAATCTTACAAGCGACTGCCCACGTGCTATCTAGAAAGTCCATATGAACGTAACATTTCCCAGTGTGCCACTTATTAGGTGTGGATTGAGTTGAAACCTGCCACTTGTTGTGTCGCGAACTACCTACTATCAGATGATGGCTTAGTCATGTATATGACTGTAACGAGGGATCACTGGCATGCAAGTATTTGAGAAGTCTCGCGTTGATGCATACGTGGCTTAATATGCGCTTAAGCTACTTAGTCTGGAACCGAGAAACTTTCGGTTGTTTCTAAGCCATGGACCTAGCTGTAGATGAGTTCATCCAGGGCATGTGTGTCCGTGGTCTCATTCCATCGATTGTCCGAGATGAATTCTTCATCTGAGAGCGCCCGAAAACCCCTGAGACGAATGCCTCAGTCCCGCAACAAAGCTTGCATTCCATGCCAGAAGCAAAAGGTTGAAACCTGGGCCTTTCGCCGCGGACCTGTACTGACCCCGCAACTAGGTCCGGTGCCGAGCGAGTGACGATGGCACCCCTTGCCAAAGGTGCCAGAAAAGGGGAATTCAGTGTCATTTCAGCAAGATCCCACAATACTGGAAACCTAGCGGCAATGAAGCTCTCCAGTATGATTTCGTCACCTCTTGGTCTTTATTGCTGTTGACATCTTGAGCTAGGATGACAGTGGCCGAAGACCTAGAGACGCTACGCGATGCAATCAACAACATCCTGGCGAACAGGAAACAATCGACACTTGGGCCTCTCAAGACGAGACCCGTCTTCCCGCAAACGGAACGGAGCCCAAGTCCCTCGGCGTCCGTGGCATCGGATCAACTTTCACAGAGTGGTGGTCATTTAACGGGCGACTCACTGAGCATGCGGACTCAAGACAGAGCGTCGGTAGAACCTTTGACCCAGATACCCATCAAGTCTCTATATGAGATCACGCGGCTCGAATCATTACGTTCTCGTCAAGTATCACCGTCGTCAACGAACAAGAGAACACCGGCTGGCGTGAACGAGCCTCGCGATTTGGTTACAGAAGGCAAGATCAATCTCGTCGATGCCAAACGCCTCGTTCAGAAGTTCCTGGACCAAACGGACCATTATCTCTATGGCGTCACTACGATATATCAAGACCTGGATGGTATTCGTAATGCGTCGCCGCTGCTGTTTACAGCCATTTGCACCGTATCAGCTCTCCATGAGCCCCAAGGTGAATCGCTTTACCGCACCTGCAGCCTAGAGCTTCGCAAGCTTGTTACCAACTTCGTCTTTGCCCCGCAAGTGAGCATGGGCGACTTCCAGGGACTACGTATCGCCTCATTCTGGTTGAGCGACATGGCGTGGTCAGTCTCAGGCCTGGCCATCCGCCGGGCTATGGAGTTCCAACTTGGGAAGGCATTCGATTTTGTCATTGGTGCCACCACTATTCAGAAGGTCTCTCCCCACAGGTTTCAGCTTGGGAGCCGAGAAGAGGCACAAGAATGCTTGAGAGTCTGGTACCTTTACTACATCTGCGACCGTCATCTATCAATTCTCTATGGCAGGCCCTCAAGCTTTGGAGACCAAATCTCAGTCAACAAGTGGGAAACCTACCTGAACGCAGTCCCGGAGAACAGCACCGACGTGCGGCTGGCAAGCCAAATCGAGATGATTCTGATACTGGACAAAGTCACTGGAATCTTTGGCACAAACCTGGAAGTTTGTATCCCTGGTCACTTTCACACCCAACTACAGGGGTTCAATCGTCAACTTGACCAGTGGATCATGGCTTGGACAGGCCGATATCGTGAGTTCTTATCTCGCAAGTCAGCTTGTGGTGACCAGGCTCTGACTACGTGGACAGGACCACATGAGAGAATAGGCAACTTTCCATTGAAGGCGCTTACACTCCACTACCACTTTGCGAAGCTCTTCATATCTTCTCACGTTTATCGCGGCCGATCGTCTCACGGTGGCGGTGAGCCGGTTCCACCGGAGTACTCCGACATGGCTCAAGTTGCCGTGAGCAGTGCGAGCGCCATTGTGGAGCTTATTATAAACGACGTCGACATCCGAGCTGCTTTCGTGGGGATGCCTCACTACTGTCATACCATGATTGCATATGCCTGTTCTTTTTTGCTCAAGCTTGCAACGAGTCAACATGACAAAAGCCTCAACGCAGAGGAAACCTTTGGTGCGATTCGAAAAGTAGCAGACTTCTGCCAGAATGCCCAGTGTACGAGCTACCATCTCGTGCACTGGATGGGTGCAGGCCTGCGGGACCTCGCAGCGAAGTGTGAGAACGCCTTATCAGACCAGTCGACAGGTCCCAAAGCTCGCATTGGAGTTCAGGCCGAGGGAATGCTGCTCCAGGACGACATGTCTATGCAGCAGGCGCACGAAGAGCTTGAGACGAGTCTAGGCATGTCCATTGAGCCTGGAAATGCCTGGGATGCAGCAAGAGGTGATGCAAGCTTCCAATGGGGAATGGGGCCAATCGATGCATCCCTGGGTAACATGAGCTCAGGCTTCATAAACCCGACGTTTGACCCGAATATGGGGTCTGAAGGGCCTGACGCAGGATGGGAATCATTACTCCCAACATTTGATCTTGAACACATGGGTTTTGGGTTACTGTGACACTTGTAATCTATAGTTCTAGCTTATAATGACAAAACATCCTTCGCTGCTACCTTAAGCTCGGACATCATTCTCTGCAGTCTTGATCCACGAAATGGATTCTTTCAGATACGTCGACGCACGAAGGTCACCAGAACGAGCATGAGCTTCGAAATTCTCGGCCCGAGCAGCGCGACCACACAGCCGCCCCAGCTCACCGCTGGCCTTCTCACTGACGACCTCTTGATAAGTGCATGTCTTGAGATACTTTCCAACCCAAAGGCCGCCACTGTAGCGAGCCCCCTTTCTCGTTGGCAAAACATGGTTTGTTCCAATGCACTACAGTCATTAGTATTTGGATCAAACGAGACAGACGCTGACTTACCTTGTCACCGTAACTGACACATGTTTTCTCACCCAAGAAGAGGGCGCCGTATTGTTTCATCTTCTGTAGGGCTTCTCGCGGCTCTCGTGTGAGTATCTGGACATGTTCCGAAGCAAAGGTATCGGCGACCTTATAAGCCTCATCCAAGTCATCGACGACAATCACCTCGCCGTGATCTTTCCAGCTAACAGCAGCAATGCCCTTGGTTGATAGATGCTCCAGGCATGCATCCACATAGCGGATAGTCTTCTCTGCCACTTCTTGAGAAGACGTGATGAGAACCGCCGGGGTGTCTGGACCATGCTCGGCTTGAGAGACCAAGTCCGTCGCAACAGTCATCGGGTCCGCGTGCTCGTCGGCGACAATGAGAATCTCAGTGGGGCCTGCCACAAGATCGATGCCAACCTCGCCGTACAACTGACGCTTTGCTTCAGCAACGAATGCGTTACCGGGACCGGCGATGAAGTCGACCTTCGCTATGGTTTCGGTTCCCAAAGCCATGGCCGCGACAGCCTGAACGCCGCCGAGAATGAAGATCTCATCACAACCGGCAAGATGCATCGCTGCAACGGTGGCGCTGGGAATCTGACCAGCGATGGGAGGGGTGCACCCGATTACACGGGGAACGCCCGCGACCTTTGCAGTCAGAATGGTCATGTGTGCTGAGGCCAAAAGGGGGTACCGGCCACCCGGAATGTAGGCGCCAACTGTCTCGATGGGGATGTTCTTTTGTCCAAGAAAGACGCCCGGCTCGCTTTCGATCTCAAAGTCTCGTATGCTGTCTCTCTGCGCCTGTGCGAATCTCCTCACATTCTGCTGGACCGTCTTGATGTCTTTGATGGTCTGAGGGTCGACTTTTGCAATGATATCCTGAATTTGTTCCGATGACAGCTTGAACGACTTGGGCTCCCACTTGTCGAACTTCTGGCTGTATAAGCGAACAGCAGCGTCACCGTTGGCCGAGATGTCGTTGATGACCCCTCGAACAACGTTGGGAACGTCTACCGACGGAGCTGGGACAGTGCCATTTGAAGTGGCGGCACTAGGCTTCTTGATATGTCTCGGAGCCATTTCTGAAAAGGTTAAGTCCGCAATGATAATCAAAGAATACTTATTGGGCAATAAGGCAGATGATGTTGTTACAAAAAGAGGAGCAGGCTGTAAACACAATGTACTTGATCGAGCAGGATAGGACTATGTTTTGTATTGCAGCAATGCTCGACAAGAAGCACGAACATTGCATTTCAAATCAAAGAACTTTCCGCTATCGGATTCATAAGTCCCGATGAGCCGGAATTTGATCCGGATGTTCAGCGAAGTACGGCTTTGCCGCCAATACTTGCGAAGTGACCAATAGGCCGGCGAAGTTCTCCGCAGCGCTCGGGTTGTGGGGTTTAGGTGTGTCGGTGAACTTCGCCGAGCCGAGTCCCAGCCAACGTCTGAGTCGCCGAAATTCCCCGACCCGTCGGCATGCGATAAAACAGATATTGAGAGAGCTTTTAGAGGATAAATTTCTGTTAGGTTATTTGTGGATACTTGCATTTTTGGCTTGATTCTAGATGTCCTACTTACCCCAAGATGTAGGGGCAGGTCCTCGTGAGTTTCCAAAATCTCTCTGACGAAAACCATATAATCTTTCATCTCAACCCATTCACTCTATCCTTGTGAAGTACCAACTTTAAGCTTGCCCAGCCGCGGCTTCCTTCTGAGCAGCTTCAATCATCTCGCGCCTCTTCTTCTGGAAAATGGGCTCAACCTTTCCATCCAATGCTTCTTTGCAGAACTCTTCAAATGGCTTCCCAGTCAAATCTGGGTAGAGTTCCTTGCCGATTTGATAACCCAGATAACGGGCATACTCGGGAGTGTTGTCCCCTCGAAGACCCCAAGACTTGCGGTACTGCAACACAGACAGCTTGTGAGGGTTGGCTTTGTCATCCTTCGCCTTCACCATCGCGGCCTCGATATCATCAGACGACAGCTGCATTATGTCAGCTACAACTCAGTGAGATGAGAATAGGAGCTACATACGTATTGTCTTTCAAGTTTCTCTCCGCTCAAGGTTTCAATGAGATCGTAAACTTCGTTTTGCGAGATCAACTGGGTGTATGCGAAAACCTTCTGGTTCAGGGTACGAGGGTCCGCAACGATGCGAGCGACGTATTTGCCGATATCCCTTAGGTCCGTGATAGCAGACTTGACAGTGCCATCCCCTGCAATCCAGTTGTCAAAGGGGCTGGCGACAGCATCAATGCGACCGGAAGCTAAGCGAGGCAGGGTAATCTGGTACCACCAGCCGACGTCAATCACGGTGTAGGGAAGGTAGAGTGTTTGAACATGGTTCAGGACATCCTCTTTCTGTGCGTCAAAGCTTAGTAGTTTCATCTCCTAGGCTCACCAGGGGCGCTAAGTCTTACCTGGTCACGGAACCACAACATTCCCCTAGCCGGCATCACGGTACCAAAGAAGCAGGGGACGAATCGCCCGACACCGGCCTTCTTCGACGCGCTGGCAAGTGGGAGCTGATCAAGGAGGCTGTCTGCAACGATGGCGGAAATGACGACATCGAAGCCAGTGACTTGCTTAACGATTTCATCCTCAGGTCCTGTGAGGTCGGTGGAAGCTATCTTGACGCCCGTTTCTTTGAGGGCGTGAACCTCTGGCTTGTCAAGTGAGCTGGGTCGGATGAGAGCGGTGACGTCCTGTTTCGTGGCAGTCAGAATATGCAATAGCCCTGACAAGCATCGGGTTTCTTAAACTCTCACAAATTTCGAGTCTGGAGATGCTAGCAGTCCATTGACGATGGAACTCCCCGTCTCCCCGGTGGCTCCGACGACCGCAACCTTCATTCTTGCGTTGTACTTGTTGACGAGTATGCTGTGCTGGAAGTGCTTCCCATGAAAAAGTGCGACTGTACTGTTTTACCGAGTGAACAGGATAGAATGTCCAAGATCAATCGATTGTGATTTAGTGAGAAGTCTGTGGTTTGTATAGAATTTATCTCGCAACCGACAACAAGCGTGAAATGGATCCCTAGTTGGGGAACTCAAAGCTCATTCGTTCCCGCCGCCAAGATGAGATCATTGCTACCGTGTTTACAAAGCAGGACACAAAGTCCGCAGGAAAGCGGGGAAAAGACACGGGCTGGTCCGGCTTGAGACACGTTGAACGGGCGGAGTTTGTGGGTTCTCTGAACCGGGGTCCCCGCTTTCGGTTTCGGTTCCGGAAAGCCACCGACAGTCCGAAAGGTGGCAGCGATGCCGTGAACAGCGGCACGGACCAAAAATACTATAATAGATGCCAAGATGACAAGTCAGAATCAAGCTTAGATCCTACGGGAAGATCATTCGCCAAGTGTGGCATCATTGTTGTTCGCCCAATGCGGGTCATGAAACCTTTCCGCATACCTACGGACCGTCTTTTCTTCCTTTCATGATCCCTTTGCTGTTATATCACACAAAGGGAGACCTCAGGCAAACTGACAGAATAACAAATGCTTTTGAGTTAATGTATATTACTATTACCATCTCTAATTACAGAGAGAGTTTTGCTGGTGGCGCGGTAACTACAGATCCCAAGTCGTTGAACTCCTGAGCTTAAACCTCCTGATCAAATCTCAAACCTTGTCTAAGCTTTGAAATGTTTAAACATTTGGTTCCCAGCTGTATTTGACGAATGAATTTCCCGTGGCTGTATCTTCGTCGTCATCATCGTCTGCTTTATCGTCGTCTGTCGAGAGGGCACGCCTATCTTCACAACATATGCAATAGGATCCGCTGGAACAACCAATTGACCACGGGAAGCATCGAGCACGATCTGAATTTTCACTTCGGTCTTTAATTCTGTAGAACTCGACTCGTTGAACCCGACTCGAAATCGACTCTGTTATTTGTGCTCTCCGTCGCCATGGAACTCTGCTTTGACGATTACTTGTCCCTGGGGCAGGTAAGCATGCTTCGAAATCAAGCAACTTAGTCCCACGTATAGAGGATAGCTACAAGCTCTAGGAATGAACTTCGCCTCTTGTCTGCGCTCAGTGCCCAATGCCCAATCGATGTGCCAGGGACAGAACCCCAGTATCCGAAAGTAATACTCTGTTGGGATTAAAACAAGGCCCGACAGGCTTTGATGAGAGCAGTGTGACCGCGCAAAGATGACATGGTATTTCAAATTCAGATCCGGTGCAACTATATATAGTTATCCAGAGGCTGTATAAGTTGCCAGTGAAGAACGAGCTGAAAAACTTCGTGCGATCTATTGGTTCATATTGTTGTGCGCGCGATATATGTAGCAACTGTATTTAGAGATGCTCTCTCGATACAACGAAGACCATCACACACTCCATTGTGTTTGGTGTGTTTTGACATCCAATCGTTGCTTGGGATGCGCGCGTGAAATAGGGAGAAACAGCCTTTACAAATCGAAGTGTCCTAGCTTCCTATAACGCCTAGAGCACGAGGAGTATAAACAAATGTTTGAGGAGAGTAGGAAAGAATGGATGTGGTGTTTCTGACGAAAAGAGTACGTGACGGTAAAGCCGCATTCATACAGGTGACCTTCGAGGCTTGGTGTGTCTAGAGTCAGCCTTAGGTAATTACTACGTAAGTTCACAGTGGCGACGAGGTTACTGCTAAGAGCACTGAGGATCCGGGAAAGAAAAGTTTTCATTTATAGGTTGTTTCAGGTCTTGAGCCTAAAAGAAATCCAATGCTTGCTGCTATGACGGATGTGTACGCAGAACATCGCCCTAGGCTCAGGAGATGGTCTATAAACTACAGCGGAGGGAAGGAAAGGTGCATCAGAAAAAGGACATGAAGCACTGAACATTGGCTGGTCGTGACGGATCAGATTACTACTCCAAACTCCGATAGGATCACCTGGATGGAGCAAAATAAACCCCACCCCCGTCTGCCAAACTACCAGTTTGACGATGTAAAGTTGCCATCCTTCTCTGCGGGGTGGGAAATCCTATGACCTACGTTTCGATCCGCAATTTGGACAAACCTCAATGAAATAGCGATTCGAAGAGGCGGCGATCGTAGCCGAGCCTTATCATCAATCACGGTCCGATTTTGGTTTCAATTTCCGGCATACCCTGCAGCAAGTAACATGTTCAAGCGTGATTCTGTCACCGACCCACACAGCCTACTTGGACATTTCAAAGCATGATCACCACATACTGTATAAGAACAGTTTGAAAGGGCCACATCTGAGTAGAGCTTACGTTCTTATCACATCTCCGCTGGTATTCCCGGTTGCTTAGCTGCACCTCCCCCAACAGGGAACATTGGCAACGCATCACCTTCCCAGCACAGCCTCCCCGTGGTCCTCCATCTGACACCGTTTCCCCCAAATATTGGTCGTTCAACCAGTAGGCTGAAACTTCGTTGACTTGGCGAGAAGCAATGGTGCAGCGAGGCGTCCAATCGTAGAGGGTGTTCTAAAATTCGTCATGGGTTCCGCGGCAGCCCAGACCTTTCCGCAGCCTGATTTGGCTTCAACTGAGCCGCCTGATCCGATTCTCTTTCTATCCACGCCCGATGCGTCCTTCTTTCGGACTAATAAAACGTTGGATTTCCCATTAAATTGGGCAATGATTAGATGGTTCAAACACAAGAAACGACCGAAAAAGAAACAGCAACAGAATTCCTTGTCTTCCAAAAGAGCGCGACCTCATAACGCAAAAAGCCGGTCCAAGAACTCTAACCCAATACTGCCTCTGATTGTGTGATAATACACGTCACTCGCCATGGGAAAGAAGCAATTTGACAGCGTAACCACCTATATCGAGAGAGCTCCAACCGACTCAGTCAGTCATGAAGACAGGGTATTTCTGGCTGCTTCTCAGCAAGAGGAAGCAAGCCTTTATTGTTACAAGAGCCCGGTCAGTAGCGGTGGGTAACTTTCGCGTGCCTTCCTGATGAGGCTGTGCTAACTTGTTCAGCTGGTAACTGCTTGCGGGCGACATTGAACCGTCCACTTTTGCCGTCCAACAGGGACGAATCGCTGAGGTTCCTCGGGGTCTGCTTGTGTTAAGAGCCTAACAAATCAAGACTGTATCTAACTACTACGCAGGATTTTGGACAAGGTTCGGCAAACCGTGCGCGAGGTAGCATCGAAGATATTCTATACCCTTCCATTACCCTCATGTAAGTAAACGTTTCTTAAGCACCCACGTCAGACCCACACTCACAGACAAAAGCGGTGCTCATGGATATGGATACGACACCCATCACAAGATAAGTCTCGATCGTATGCTCTTCAGACAGATCATCAAGGATTTTGAGCTTCCCAGTATGAGCGAGGAAGTGGTTCAGTCCATTCATGGGGTGTTTTGCAGCTTCGATGAGGTCGAGGAGCAAGATGAAATCACTCACAGTCAGGTTAAGTCTCTCGGTATGTAACTACAAGGACGCACGATCATGACACTCAATCACTGACTTCCCAGTAGTCGTCACTTTGTCCACCTCCAAATCTCCGATGAGGCAATCTTTCCTCTCGATGAGAGTCCGAGTCGTTGAGAAGCAGTGCTCAATAACCTGCATTCTACTGGAGGGCAAGCGGCACGATCTCTGCAGGGTGGTCAGCAAAGTCCTTGCTCGCACGGTAGATTTCGACTGGCGGCACCCACTGGCCTTTCTTGTCGCGCTGCTTCGGGATATTGGGCAGGCCTCAGAGGTAAAGCGAAAAGAGTTGGATGACCATATCGTGAAGATTGAAATGGAGACCAACACGTGTATTCCCCCGCCGGTAGAGGGTCAGCCGGAACCACTCTTCACCAAGAAGGTCTGTTGGCCCGAGGATCATTACGAGTGTATAGGCCTCCTAGACAGGTGCAACAACCAGCTCGTCTTTGCCACCAGGGCCGTCGACGAGGAAATTGAAGCGTGGAGGCAACTGCAGGGTCTGCTGGAGGATAGAAATTCGATATGCAACGTTGAAGGACCGACCAACAAGAACATCCAAACCACAATGCTGAACACGGTCAAGTTCCAGTTGACTCATACCAAGAGTCGAAGAACTCAGATCCAGGGCCTTAGAGACCGCGTTGCTGTGCAAATTGAGTTGGTAAGTACTTCGAGTCTTGAAAGAATATGGGGTGAAAGATTCCCCTGTCTCTTCGTTGTCCAGACATTGAGACGGCTTTCGTTAGTTTGGAGACCCGGTCAACATTCATGTTGGTGTGATTGACAACATTCCCAAGATCCATAACATGACGGCACATAAGGAGGCCTCGCAGACTACCATGATTGCCATAGTCGCGCTGATTTATGCGCCTGCGAGCTTGATAGCGGTAAGATTCTTTATTTGAACTTGATTCCAAGTTCTGCAACATGAGTCTGGATGTTACTGATTGCGACTTTTACGCAGACCATCTTCAGCGCCGGTCTCTTCGCGACCGACGACCACTCCTGGACCACCTACATACCATCTACAGTCCCTATTACTTTGGCCATATTTGTACTCGGTCTCCAATTTACGAAGCTTCAGGCCATGCTTAGGCAAGGGTGGAAAGTTGCAGTAGGGGGATGGCAGGATGTAGGACAGAAGGAACCAAGGATGTCGGTTTGAACAACTGTCTGAGAACATCCGCTGCGACACGATGTTGTGTTCCCTCTAATTAAGTCTCCTTGAACTTGGTCAAAGCTACATATGGATGTAGACATTTAATGAAAGCAATGGACTGCAACGAAGACGAGGTCTTGGACGATGCACGGATGGTATTTGGAGCGCACAAGGGTCACATAATCATTCACATTCAGGCCCAATAACTCAACATATCTGAGACAGTGTAAAAGTTGCCAGCCAAAGTGGAACTCAAAGGGTTATCCAGTGAGATACTTTGGACAATAATTCACCTTGCTGGGGGAAATTTGAGTCAGGCGATTAAACATAAATTGGCCATTGCGTAAAAATGGTCTTTGTGGCTACCTTGAGAGGCCACGAAAGATCGCTACAGGGAACTAACTTTTGCTAGACTAGAGTTGACTATAAATTTACAGTGCCTTGCAAATCACTTGCGTACTATTGCCGGATCAATTCTCATCAGAAACACCAATATTTACGTCCCGTTCATCTCCACTTAGCATACTCGCCTCATCCCTCCTAATCAAAAGTCAACAGTCAAGACTGCATGGAAGTTCAGCTCAGTTTCATCGACAGAGCCTGTTCATCCCTGCCTTACGGGTAAAAAGCCATGTTAGAAGACACGGAGCTCCGCGGAGTCTACGATACTCTCCGTTTGTCTCGCGAGGGCATTTATCGCTGGGGCTTCTACCTCTATCGCACGACCTATGACAATCAGCCGCTCTGGGAACGCTACATCTCCAACCTCAGACAACGAGCCGTCGACTTTATCGCGAGAGACTCTTCAAGCAAGCGCGACGAGATGCAAGCAACTTTCCGGATATCCGTCATAGAGGATCGAGAGTCTCTGGATGGCGCATCTATCCAAGAGGTCCTCGCGCGATTTCAATCCTGGGCCAATGCTCTTCCGGATGAAAGCGACGAGAGCCAAGACATCCCAGCCAACGATAGCCGCGACTACGCTCGATTCAACCTGTGTCTCTATGTGGACGCAGAATGCCTGAGTTCATTGGAAACACCCATTCCTTTTGTGAAGGTCGTTAACGCAGAGACCCCAATTCCTGACTCTGAGGAGGAATACTCGGACAGTGACGAAGACGTGACAGACAGTGACGATGAGTCTGAAGCGAGCGAGCACGATCCTGAAGACGACTGGATGTATCTGGAGTGCGAGTCGCTGTGCCGTTACTACGACATCATGATTTACGGAGCTGAATGGGATCGGCAGTCTGGGCTGGTTAAGCGTCCCAGGAAGCGCCCATGGGATCTTTAAGGAGACGCACCCTCCGGCGTGTTTTAGTCAACATGAGACACCTCAACATCGTACCAACAAACAGGTACTGAAGCTTTCCCCGTTCGGAAGACAAGTAGATTGAGATAGTTCCCTACTTATGGTCTTAGCCTTAGCTTCAAGTCCGTGGATAGAAAATATACATTAAGTCTTCTTGATAATGACCACACGACTGTCGTAGTCTCCCTCAAATGCGTACTGAACTCCAGTATTCATCAAAGTTGCTCCGGAGTAGGTGCCGTTGCCGTCCAACGAGTACGAAGCAGTTGGGTCCAATCCTTGCAGGCGAAGCCTTGGCAGGGCGTGGTTGTACCAGGATCTGACCTGGTAGTAGAAGAGAACAGCCTGGGACCCGTCCTCGGAGATGACCATGGCAGCTGGCCAGTTGGATTCCTCAGGCAGGTTCAATCGCCAAAGATCACCTCCAATCACAATTGGGTTGACCACTTCATTGAGAGCCAGCAATTCTGGGATTTGGACCTTGTCCTCGTCAGAGATCTCGGCTGGGTTCAATTCGAGACCGAAGGAACCGCCCATCATGGCAACGTGAGCACGGAACTTGATGGGGATTGTACGCGTGGTCTGGTGGTTGGGCACCGCTGAGACGTGGGCACCCATGGCAGCGAGCGGGTAGGCGAGGGATGTGCCAAACTGAATGGAAATACGATCCAGAGCATCAGTGTTGTCGGAAGTCCAGATTTGAGGGAAGTAGTGAAGAACACCGGGGTCGAAGCGACCGCCACCAGACGCGCAACCCTCCCAAAGAACATCGGGGAAGCGAGAAGTGAGGGTCTCAAAGACGTGGTACATTCCCAACATATAGGAGAGGCCGATGCCAGGGGTAGGTGTCTCGTGAAAACCTCTGTTGTTGTCCCATTTGACATATGTGACGGGAGCGCTGGAAAGGATACTGGAAACTGATTCGATGATATACTCCTGGACCTCAGGAAGAGCCACGTTAAGGACGAGCTGGTTTCGTCGGATCGTGCGAGGGTACGGCCCCGCATGGAGGGCCCAATCAGGGTGCTCATGGTAAAGAGTCGAGTTGGGGTTGACCATCTCGGGCTCAAACCACAGACCAAACTGCAACTTGTCGGAAGAATTGGTAACTTGCAGATTCGTGACCTTATTCACAAGAGCAGGCAGGCCATCCGGGAAGCGAGTCGGGTTGACCGTCCAGTCTCCAAGACCGGCCGTGTCGTTCAATCGGGGGTACTCCTGGCCGAACCAGCCGTCATCGAGAACGAACAGCTTGACGCCAAGTTGTGCAGCCTCCTGGGCGAGGTCGTAGACGGTGCTCTCGTTGTAGTTGAAGTAGAGTCCCTCCCAACTGTTGAGTAACGCCGGGCGAGGCTCGGTGACGAACTTGCTTCTCATGAGGTGCTTCCGATAGAGTCGATGGAACTTTCGAGACATGCCACCAATTCCTGTGTTGGAGTAGATAGCGACAACCTCAGGCGTGGTAAGAGTCTCTCCTGGTCCGAGCGGCCAAGAGAGTTGGTAAGGGTTGAAGCCGATCATGGCCCGAGTGAAACCTTGAGACCCTTTCTCAACCTCGGCGGAAAATGAACCAGTGTAGACTAGGGAGAATCCCCAGGCTTCACCCTGAGATTCGGTCGTATCCGGAGATACAAGTGCCAGGAAAGGGTTGTGGAGATGAGAAGAGTACCCGGTTGTGCTTCCGAAACTAGTTTCGAGTGGAGTCAGCATACTTCCCTTGGCAGATCAATGTCGGGTAGTTGGATTGAACTTACCCTTGCGTGCCGTAGTCAATCTTCCGGCGGGTTCTCATGGCCTCTCGTGCCCAGTCTCCTCTCAGCTCGAGGAACTCCATGTCGTCAAATGGCAAGTCCACGCTGAGACTTGCAGCCTTTTCCACCGTGATGTTTCCCTGGCCCTCATTGGTGATGTTGACGCTCCGCACAATGGCATCGTACTTCGGGAAAATTGAGTAAGAGAGATCGACAGCGATTGAACTGTAGTTGTCGAAGAGGGAAACGACCAACGTTGAGACGTCGTTCTCAGTCCCAAACGTGGACGGAAGTCCAGGCAAGCCAGGCTTGCCCTGGACGACCCTGTGAGATCGATACTGGAGGTCACTGACGGTGTATCCAGCTGTCTCGCGAATCTGTAGTGCGGGGACCCTGAAGTCCCCTCGACCAAGATCTGGGTACTCCCGTCTGACACGGCCGATCATGTCCACCCATCCGTTGACCTCTGGAGCAAGCATTGCCATACTCTCAGTAGCCGAACCTCCGAAATGGTCGGTGAGAAGATCGCCAGTGAGCTCATCCACGTGAAAGCGGTACGATGTGTGGTCACCATTGAGGGCAAAGGACGTGCCATCAACAACGATGCCTTACCAAGGTCAGCGCTTCTGGATTTGAGTGGACAATGGGTGTGAATTACCATTCGCGGAGGCATTCTGGGCTGATATTTGACCAACAAGCACAGTTGCGGAAGCAGCCAAGGCAAAATGCCTCAGCCAGTTGTTACCGGCCATGTTGAGGGCTAAAGAGGTCGGATCACCGATGACAATTGGATGCCGGATGAGCTCGCCAGAGAAGTGCAATGTTCTCGAAAGTCCTGGCTTCCATTTGACTTTTTCACGGCGGAAGAACCGGTATTTATGTCACTTTCTACCTGCATATGCGGCTCGTCCGGGTCTCCAAGAATCTCGTGATGCATCCGCTTAAGTCACGACCCATCGTCAAAATTGTCGGGCGGTTCCCCTCTCAAAGATCAGCAGGGCAAGAAAAACAACTCCTCCAACATTGCACCCGAGAGCCAAAAGAGTAACGATCAACCTGCAGGATTAGTTTTCCGCAGCTAACCCGCAGTGCCAGAAGCATCGGATGCAACGTTCGGCCGGATCACAATTTTGGGCAACATGCAGCGCCAAACCCAATCCTGTTAGTTGGAGATGAGGGGTAGCTAGGACGGGGTAGCACTGCAGTGGAACACTGGGGAATGGGGAAGATTGGTGGGCGCCCGGCCTGGGGTAAGCCATGTTTATTCTGTGTAGCCGGGGAACTGTCCGGCAAACACTCCGGGCAGCATTTTCTACGTAGTCGATCAGCCGAGTAATAGAGAAATTCGAGCTCGAAGTTGAGCGCATGGATATTTGCTGACAGTTGACTGAAGCATCGAAGAAAATCTCGGGCGCAAAGAATGTTCCTGCTTCGCATCATTCACCGGTGAAGCAATTTGTTCCTCGCTGATGCCGATGATGACCCCACTGTTGTTAGTGCCGCCAAGAAGACCGTTGGTCTGATCCTGATCGCGGAACGTCATCGTGGGGTTGAGTGGTATAAAGTATTCCGCCAGTTTTCCGCCGGCACCACTACTACAGGAAATCCCCACTCATAGTAAGCTCAAAGGGCGGAGTAACTATCTGTTGATTGGCTATTTGCGAAGTTTACCCCAACCTCTTTCATATCGTTTGTTCTCGTATGATTTTCTAGAATCATCATCGGCACCAAGAAAGACGGTCTATCGTGGGTCGGACTGATCTGGCTTTTCGTAGTTCGGTCCTATTGTGGATTCTCAGAACGACGATATGAGCAGAAGGCTGTCATTTGGCTAGTTGCAGAGTAGTCACGCTGACTCAAGCGAATATTTTGCGGAGATGTTTATTGTCGTCGATTGGCCCTCCGGAGAAAATAGCACGATTGGGTTGCGTGGTTCATGCCGG